AGTTGTCTCTCAATGCCAGGAGAGGACTGGTTCCAAGACCCCTGCAGGTACCAGAACCCACGAATGCTCAGGTTCCTTACATAAAATGGTGTAATATTTGGATATAAGCTACACCATGTATGGTGTATGCTTTATTTTTTAAAAGATTTTATTTATTTAGGTTTAAAGAGAGGGGAAGGGAGGGAGGAGCAGAGGGGGAGAAACATGGATGTGTGAAGGAAACACTGTTCAGTTGCCTCTCACATGCCCCCAACTGGGGACCTGGCTCACAAGCTGGGCACCTGCCCTGACTGGGAATCGAACCAGTGACCTTTCAATTTGCAGGATGATGCCCCACTCACTGAGCTACACCAGTCAGGGTCCTTTAAATCATATACTTTAAATCATCTCTAGATTACTTATAACACCTAATACAACTGAAATGCTATGTAAATACTTGCTATACTATATTGTTTAGGGAATAAGGACGGAAAAAAAAGTCTGTACATGTTCAGGGTAGACACAACCATTGTAGGTCTAACATAGTACATGTTTTTTATATCCAAACATTTTCTATTTGAGATTGGTTGAATTCACGGATGTGGAGGAGGGCCAACTGCACACCATGGCCAAGAGAGGATTTATCCCAGGAATGCAAGGTTGGTTAAACACAGATATCAATCAGTGTAACACACATGTTAATAGAATAAAGGACAGGCCCGTGCTCGTCTCAGCAGATGCAGAAGTCGCAGGCTCGCTCTCCCGCTCCCAGCACTAGACCCTGTCTCACTCTCAGTGACAGCCGATCTCACCTGAGGCCCACGAGGCCCTACAGGATCCAACCCCCGTCACCTCTTTGTCCTCTCTCCCCCTCTCTCCTCACCATCCCCACACTAACCACAGTGTCCTTGCTGTTCCTTGAATCCCCCGGATACACTCCTGCCTCCGGGTCTTTACAGTTGCCGTTCCTTGTGCCTGGAAAACTTTTCTACCAGACGGCCACGTAACTCACTGCTTCACCTCCTGTAGGTCTTACTCAACACCCGCCTTCTCAGTGAGGCCTCTCTGGTCACATTACATAAAATTTCAGTCTTCTCCCCGCAGCCCGATACATTCCCTATCTCCCTCCTCCACTCTATTTCTTCTAAGCATTAGTGATGCTCTAAAATATTGTGAAATGTACTTAGGTGGCTTACCTGTTGTCTGTCTCCCCCAACTAGAACGCACACTCCTTAAGGACAGAGATATTGTAGTCTTTTTTCATCCTCATCTGAGGGTATGTTTATTGATTTCAGAGGGAGGAAGGGGGAGAGAGAGAGGGGTGGGGAGAGGAGTACCAATACGAGAGAGGGACCTGGATCGGCTGCCTCCCACATGTGCCCTTTCGGTGTGTGGGACGGCACTCCAACCAACTCAGCCACCCGGCCAGGGCCGTTTTAGTCTGTCTTATCCACTGCTACATCCATAGCATTTAACTAGCATGCCACTTTATAGGCAGTCAATAAATATTTGTTGGCTAAATAAATGAATAAAATAGCTGGTCACCCAACCACTCACCCAGCAGGCAGTGATACCCCGCCCACCCCAAGGGCCTGATGTTTCGCCTCAGGCTGGAGTGCTGAGACAAATCAGGACCACCCTGGACCTGCTGGGAGAGGGGCCCGAGTGTAAATAACCATGAACCAAGGAAGACAATGCTAAGGAGCTTCGAGAATGGGGAGAGGGTCAGGCCTGCCCATCAGGGAAGGCTCCATGGAGAGATGGTGCTCAACCTGGCCCTTGAAGGCCCAGAGTGATTCAGGCAGACAGAGAAGGGGTGGGGTAGAGGGAAGAGAGGGAGGCCCCAGGTGTGAGAAGCGTGGGGCGTGTCCCGGGAATCGAGAGGGGACCTACATGGGAGGACCGCCTGGGGGTAAGGCTACTGAGATGGTCGAGACAGCTTGCGAGGATAAAGATTTCAACTTGGTTCCAGAGGCACCAGGGAGCCATACAAGACTGTGGAGCAAGGAAGGTCCACGGTGTCACTCTGGCACTGTGGGAAGAATAGACTGCTGGGTGAGCAGGAAGGCGAGAAAACCAGAAAGGTGGGTGGCTCCCAGAACAGTCTCGGAGAAAGACAGTAAGCCATGAGCCAGGAAAGGACAGAGAGGACTGAGGGAAGAGGGTAGGTTGGAGGTATTAAGAGTTTTATGACCACGTTGAGGGGAAGAAGCTGGAGCCTGAATCTCAAGTGAAGACATTCAGGTAGTACAGACAGAGCCACGGAGGCGGGTGCCTGTTAGAAGGACCAGAGGAGCCCCCCACTTCTAGAAGGCTGGGGTTCCGGCTGCAGGGGCTCCATGCACTGGGCATCATGCCAGGGCCAAACACGAGCCACAGGAAGGAGAGGCTTCCCAGCACCGGAAGACCGATGCGCCCTGGCCCCACATGCCTCACCCCGGAACAGGCCTAGAGAAGAGTTTCTCTAGCTGGCTTTGTCAGCCAAGACACAATGTCATTGCTAGATGAGCCATCCAGCCTTGGAAATGTGCCAGGCTGTGGGGGGGGGGGACAGCTGTGTCCCCAAAATACAGCCAAGGAGCCGCCTCCCAGAGCCAACCAAGACGGTGGCAGAAGCAGAGCTGGTGGGGGTCCGCAGCCCCAGCAGATGAGCAGGGACAAGCCTTCAAAGGGGCCTCCATCTGCCAGGGCCTCAGCCTGCCTGCAAGGTCAGGCCCATTCAGCTCCCACCGGCTGGAGGTAACAGTCCCAGTCACTCTTCTGCACTCTCAGCCAATAAACATTAAGGCATTCATTGGCGCCTAGTGTATGAACGCTGTCTCTCCCACGCGGGTGACAAGAGTCAGTACAGCATGAAGGACACAGACTTTATAGTCTGCAGGGCTGAGTTTGAGTTTTGTCTGTTTTGTCATTTATGTTGCTGTCTCTGGGCCTCAGTGTTACGATCTGTCAAGTGGGCATGAGAAAAACCCTTCCACTAACGGTGTCATAAAGACCAAACAAGAGCAGAGGCAGAAAAGAGTGCTAACGGGACTTGTCAGCTCTCCAAGAATGTCAGCAGGAGCCCAACCAAGGCTGAGGACTCAGGTGAGAAGCACCAACCCTAAGAGAGGTGCCAGACACCCTCAGAGCTTAGAGAGAGGATGGGAACTGTCCTGTGTGGGCCCCAGCTTGTACGGAAGGCTGGAGTCTTGGGTTGGGAGGGTTTGTTTGAAGACAGAGAGAACTGAGTGAAGGGCCTCGGGCAATCCACTCACGGACAGGACAGTGCCTGCCAGGAAGGAGACTGGCCTTTCTCCCTGACTGGACACCAGTGGAATGCTGACCCTCCTGCACTGGGGCCACCTGAGGGGCATCCACCAAGGGCAGCCCTGGGGCTTCCTTGAAGCACAGCCACCCAGCACTGGGAGAACGTGGCCTGAGGGGTGCCTGAGGGAGCAGCCTGCAGGGTCGGGTGAGGAGAGAGGGAGGAGTGGGGGCAGCTGCACTTCCTGAGTTCCCCCGGGGGTTAACCGGACAGGGTGCCTCTTGGGAGACACAGGGTATAGCAGAAAGGGTTGGAAGGGCAGCGCCTGAAGAGGAGCAGAGGGGAAGATGCAGGAGGACAGAGGTGGCTGTGTCGTCTGCATCAAGGACTTGAATGTGCTAAAGCCAGAGCCAGGGGTCTGAAAAACTGCAAAAACACCCCAAGAGAGGAGTTAGCCGGCATCTGGGCATCTGCCACACGGAGGGCACTGGCAGTCAGCGAAAACAACTCTGACAAACGACTCCCGTCTTCCGTCATCCTTCCTAACCTGCCCAACCCTGGAGGGGTCAGGATCTTAGCGGGGGGCATGTTGGGGATGAGGGACGGGGATAGAACAAGCAGAACGGAACCCACTGGTGCTAGCCCTCTCCCACTCTCCCCAGTGTAATTTTCTGGGCCTGGATAGAAGCTTTAGGGAAATAGAACCAAAGTTTTTATCTAAATGGGACTGGCTTTTAGTCCATGAGTGAAACTGGAAAAGCTATGGGATCTGGTCACTGGCGGGAGACCCACCCAGACTGGTAGGAGAACAATAAAGCTGTTACTGATTTGCTTTCCAAGTCCGGTCTGCTCAGTGAACCGGCACACAGGTGAGAGGCGTGGTGTTCACAGCAGGGGGTCCCCAGGGCCTTGGAAGCAGGGGAGGGGAGGGGAGAGGAGGGGGGGTCAAAGAGGGGACGGGAAGGGAGGGGAGTTCAAGCCTGTCTGGCTGGGGCTAGACTGGAGCCATCTTCCCGGAATCAGTGACCCCTTCCCATTGGGTGGGACGGTCAGGGCTGGGGCTGTGGGGAGGCAGGGACACTGCCGCACATACGTGTGTGTCCACACAGTCCCACCCTTATGCCATGGTGTCGGCTGGACCCCAAACATGCACTGAGCCCAAGTGGGAACGGTGAATTCGAATGTAGACAGAGTAGTCTGGAAAGGCATTTGAAGGAGGTGGCCTTTGATTTGGGTCTTGCAGAAGGAGAGGGGCTTCGGGACGCACAGAAGAGAATGGTGCCCCTGGCAGAGGGAGTAGACAGGAGCAAAGGCTGGCAGCTGTGTGCACCTGTCAATGGTACGGTCAGAGTGTGATGTGCATGAAGAGATGTGTGGGACGTGGATCTGGAAGACACGTCACATTTAAAGCAGCGTCTGCACTGGCTAGGACCAAGCTGGGCCTCACTTACCTCATCTGTAACCTGGAAAGACTCACCCTATTTCTTCATGTCCTAGGAATAACTGAATCTCATTATCTCCAGTCAACCAGGGGCTCAGAGGATACACTTTCGAGTCGGAAAAGCTTAGGCTTAAATCCCAGTTCCTCTCCTTCCCAGCTGCGTAACTCTTGGTAAGCCTCAGTTTACTCATCTGTGAAATGGGGGTAGCGAGCTCTACCTAGAAGGACTGATACACATGACATACGCAGAGACCTGGCACAGTGCAAGCCTACCTGAGGCAGGAGTGCCCTACCCACTGCATCCACCGCACCTCCAATGGGGCCCTCACTTACGTAGGAAGCCAGAAGAGTGGTCGGAGCCAGGGTGAGAGCCAGGTACAGGCAGGGCGCTGCAGCGAGCAGACTAGAGGCACAGATGAGAGGCTCGGCCTGCGGGTTGACTTTCTTGTACCTCCTTGAAGCCTCTGCTCCCAGGACAACCCCAATGATGCCAGTCACGACAGTCAGTGCCCCAAAAATCAGGCTGATGGGAAAGAGCCCAGAGGGGTTGGTCAGTGGGTGGGATCGGGAGGGGGCCCAGCCACCTGCCCCCGTGTATGATCTGGCACCCGAATAAAATGGGGCTGTGGGCCCTGTCCCCTGCCTGCTCGGGAGCCTGATCGGGAAACCTGGTGCTCTCCCTCCTCCATCCCCTTCCCTGCCTCATCCTGGGGATCCCGCTGGCCAGGTGGTGATCTGCTCAGCACCCCAGTTCCCAGCCTTCCTCAACTCCAGTAACCTCCAACCTCTTACCACACAAAACTGTCCCCCTCAAAAACCTCAATTCTCTGCTCCCAGTCTGGCCCCACCCTCCTAATATTCTGGCCCCTAATGCTAATGGGAATGGAGGCGAGGGGACATTTATTTACTGAGCTCCTGTGACACGCTCAGCCCTTACCTAGGGATTCCACACGCCCTCCCTCCTCGAATCCCACCTGCCACTCTCAGAAACACCTCTCCTGTAAACACCTGTAAAATGTCCATTCCACAGGCCGAGTACCAGTGGGTTTGCTCCTCTGCCCCACCTCACTGGCTCATGGGAGAGAGTATGAGAGCCTCGAGAGGGCAGGAACCGGCCTGAGGGCACACAGCCCCCATGGGCAGGGCCAAGGCCTCCTGGCCCTCTGCCTGCAGAAACACGTGGGTATTTAGGCAGTTTAAAGGCATTCACTGAATCTTCCCACCCTTCCAAGCTGTGCAAGGCTCCAGCTCAGCCCAGTCAAGTGACCCAGAATCCTGGATGAGTAATATCTACTTCTGAGCCCTTGGTCTGAGCCATTCTTGGCAGATTCTTGAGACCTTTGTGAGACTTAGGATTGATTACCAGACAGGCAGTGTGGACAGGGGAGATCCCCCCAACAGCCCTGAGCAGAACGTGTGGCCAAAGGACACACCCAGCCACCAAGCCCCTCTACCTCCACAGCACCTTCCCAGTATCAGACTCTAAGAGCCAAGACTGGGGGGCCTTAAAGACCTGCAAGTTCTATGTTGACTCTCTGCACAATGATCTTAGCAAGCGGCTGTCCAACTTCCACTTACACACTCCCAGTGGCAGGAAACTCACTACCTCCATGCAACCCCTTCCATTTGGCCAGCTCTGAGTGTTAGAAGTTTTCCCTCTGGCCAAGCTAGAATCCTGCATCCTATGGCTTCCTGCCCTCACCCCACCCTAACCTGAAGGCTTATCCTAACCACAGAGGGCGCATAGCTGAGGTCTGTGCAGAATCTCAACACCAGGACCTTCTGCCCACTCTGTAGTAGGCTGAGTAATGGCCCTAAGATGTCTTCATCCTATTCTCTGGAACCTGCGATGTCACCTTATATGACAAAATGTGATTACCCTAAGGATCTTGAGGTGGAGAGATTACTCTTCTTTGTTTAGGAAGCAGAGGAAGAGCTGAGACAGAAGAGTAGGAGCCGTGTGTCTGCAGATGTAAACCTGGAGAGATGCAGCCACAGGCAATGCCTGCAGCCACCAGAAGTGGGAAGAGACAAGACAGGCTGCTTCTTTCTCCTGTACAGCCTCCAGAGAGAGTGTGGCCCTGCCGAACTTGATTTTGGCCCAGGGAAACCATTTTGGACTTCTGACCTCCCGAACTATGAGAAAATAAGTTCTGTTCTTTTAAGCTACAGAGTGTGGTAATTCGTTACATCAGCCCTAGGACAATAGCACAAACTCTCATGTCAGTTTCTCACACGGGTTCTATGAAGATGAGTTAGGAAGCCTAATGAAGCTGAGAAAAGGGGCAGAGAGTTGCCCAGGGAATACATAGCCAGTTAATGCCTGAGGTAGAAATGAGCCTTATTCTCCCTCCACACCCCCCAACCCCACTTTTTTAAGCTGCTGGGGGCTTTCCGGACCACCTTTGCCTCCAGGGGGATAACAGTCTAGCTGGGGCACCAAGGCAGACTCCACAGTCTCATCCAATGCCCCCATTCACTCACTCACTGGACGCTTTCCCGGAGCACCCGTGGTATGTGTGCCAGGGAACTGCTCCCAGCCAGGTAGAGAGATGTTCAAGTCAGTTCACAGCAATATGGGCAGTTGCCAGAGGCAATAGGATGTGGAGCTTAGAAGTACTGACTTTGGAGTAAGATGGGTTTGAACCCCACCTCTACTACTTGTTCTCTGTGTGACCGTGGACAAGTCACTTAACCTCTCTGATCCTCCATCCCCTCCTCTGTAATACAGGAATAATTTTTGTAGGACCTCAGAGGGTTTTCTTCATGTAGAATGCATAGCTTAGGGCCTGAACTACAGCTGAAGCTTAGGAAGTGACGGTGAGAAAAGGGAGGGGAGCTACGAGCAGAGGGCATGGCTCGGACAAAGGCACAAACAAGGGAGAGGGCATGGGACATCCTGGAAACCGCACGAAGCTCTCACTCTTGGTGCCTGGGCGTGAGAAGGAGGCTGGGGGAGGGAGGTACATGTGCTTCCGGGAAGAGGACTGGTGTCACTGAAGCCTCAGCGAGCATGAGGAGCCCACGGGGCAGGGAGAAGGAGGGCACCACAGGGGGCTGAGATGCATCTGCTGGAGAGGAGGGGGAAACGAGGAGGATTAAGGGTCCGGAGGAGAAGAATAGAGCAAGTCAAAGAGGACTGAGATGTGCCCTGTCATTCAGGAGGTCACTGAGTCCCTGGAGAACAGGGTGGGGAGGGCAGGCAGTGAGGCAGGCATTCTCTGAGCGCGGCAGCTTTCCCGGACGCACAGTGCCTCCACCGGCGCGGGGAAATCCCTAAGCCAGAATAGTAACAAGGCCTCCAGGGCCTCCGCGTGCCATCTGCAAAATAGGATGACCTCACACGATGGGTCCCTTTGAAGGAAGGTTGCCTGAGTCCCCTCATTCTTGCCCCCACCCCAAGTACCCTCTGGACCTCCACAGCAGCTCAAGAGTGGGGGATACAGGGACAGGGGCCCAGGGAGGACAAGGGAGCTGCCCCTGGACACCCAGAGCAGCAGGGGCTCAGCCAGAGCCAGAAGCGGCCTGCCGCCTGCCAGCCGGCTCCCCAGCTCCGCGGTCTCTTCGCGGAGCACCGTGCGCCCAGACAGATTGAGTTTCAGCACCCAGAACCTCCTGAGACTTCCCCACGGAGCGCTCCCCTAACCTGGGCAGGTGCCCAGGGCTCCCAGAAGACCCTCACCTGTCCTTGCTGTCACACGGCTGCTTGAAGCAGGGAGGCTGCAGCCCATGCACCACACGGGCCTCGAACAGAAACTTGGGGGCCCAGAAGCCCAGGGCTCCGGTCACAAAGGCCATGGCTGTCACTCCAAGGGTGGACCACACAAAACTCCAGCTGCAAAAGAAAGCACCTGGCTGAGGCCGGGAGAGGGCGGGGCCGCAGGGGGTGTCCGCCCGTGTGCGCTCCCCTGCTCCCACCTCCTGGGCACTGAGGTCGCCTGGGCTCCAGGCCCCGCATCCTCCCCAACATTCCCTGAGAGCCCTGCACGCCCCATCTCCACCCCTTTACTCATGCTTTGCCTTCCTCCCTTCTCTCTGCGGGACCAGCTCCCTGATCCTGAAAGGCCCACATCCAGCATCACAGTCGCCAGGAGGCTGAACCTGCTGCCCCACCTTCCTCTGCTGCCCTCCACCAGCCTCACGGCTCTGGAACAGACAGAGTTGGGTGCTGTTCGTGCTCCACATTTTGGTAAGTCATGAGGCCTGGGAGTGCAGTTGACTCCTGTCTGCCTCCCCCACCAGGCCTGGAACAGAGGATAGATGCACTCCTGTGAGGCTCAGAGAGGCATCCTCCCAGCGACCCTGAGAAGCAGGCGTAGCTGGGGGACTCTGTCCATTGAATACATGAGGGAAGTGAGGCTCCAAGTCTCAGGTCACTTAGGGATAAGGCAGTGGCAGAGCCAAAGCTGGAGCTCATGCTGCCTCCCTCCCTTCTCCCCGCCTCCCTCCCAGCTCTGTGCTGCTGTCACGTGGCTGGGGGACGGGGGCCTCCGAGGGAGAGAGGGGCATCTTCAGTTGGTGAGTGGGAGCTCAGAAGAGGAAGAGGGCAGTGAACGCTGGACGGTCACAGGGGGCTCTGGTCACAGGGTGCTCCCTGGAGACAGAAAGCGGGAGGCCAGGGATGTTGAGGCAGACGCTGGAGTTTGGGGTGACAGGCAGGAAGGAGCAGGAGCACTCACTTTCTCCCCAGGTATTTGACATCCGCCCACCAGCTGCTCCTCAGGGCCCCCAGGGCCGCCTGCCTCTGCTTCTCAGCAGCTCCCCGCGGAGGGTCTGGAACCAGCACGATGAGCAGAATCAAGGCCACAGCTTCCAGGCAGGGCATAATCTAGGGACAGGAGGCCCCAGGGAATTCAGTGCCATGTGTCCCGGTAACCCAGAGATCCCAGGGTGACTGAACTCTGTGGTCCGGGTCCTTGGGGTGCTCTGTGCCCTGGGGGCGGGGAGGCAAACAGGCCCTGTCCTGGGTGCTGGTTACACAGAACCTAACCCAGCACGTGTCTCCCCCCATCACCTCCGACAGCGCGGCCTCTCTGGGGAGCAGCGCCGTCTCGGGAGCTGATTTAGTAGCTGTCTGTCCAGTACAGACACCACTCTGTCTGAGCACTGAGCCCGACATGGCTGAGCACCGGGGTGCCTGCGGTCGCCGTAGCTGCCCCCTTGCCTCCCCCTCGGCCACGGCGGTCCTGCCCTAGTATCTGTCCATCTCTTGTCTCATTAATAATCCTCAGGAGTCCCCAAGGCAGCATTTACTCCCTCATTTTACAAGTCGGCAAAGTGAGGCTCCGAAGAGGGAGGTGACTGCTTCGGGTCTCACAGCCAGCAAACTGAGCAGCAGGATTTGAACCCAGGGCCATGACTTCCACACCCACGTCCCACGTGAGGCCCCAAATGTCTGAAGCTGGTGACGTCTGACCACCTCCCATGGCGCCGGTTGACATGCCAAGTGGCTAAGGCCACGGGAGGCTGGAAAGTCCCCGTCGGCCCAGGGGCAAAGCAGAAGGAAGAGAAGGAAGCTGGACTCACTCGGAGGGCCCAGTGCCAGCTCCCAGTCAGCGCCTTCACCGCCGACCCCAGCACGTAGCCCAGGCCACTGCAACAGAGGGGTAAGGGGGACAGGCGGTGAGGGCAGAGCGGTGGCCCAGGGCCCTCAGGCTGGCCTGGACAAGGTGCCCTCAACGCAGGCAGCTGGCTCTCTTCAGCTCATAGCCCTTTTGCTGGGAAAAGTGAGCCACGTGAAGCCCAGATGTCCACTGCCCTTGGTCAGGTCACCGGTGACCTCTGGCTCCTGGCCCATCCCCAGTGCCCCTGTCCCCCATCTCCCTGGATGAGGACTCCCTCCCTCACCCCAGGCTCAGCCCCACCTGAGTCAGAGATTTCAGGAAACCAGGGTCAGAGCTCGGGGGCCTCGCTGTAAATCCCACTCTGTCCTCCCCTCTGTGGGGTGCACTGCCTAGCCCTAATGCACCCCCTTGCCTCATCTCCCAGAGCTGGCCCCCCCTCAACAGGCAGACTGCCAGGCTGCTCTTTCTCACCCCACCCCCCACCAAGTGTACTAGCAAGTAGGGAGCACCTTTCTTCTCTCTGATCCTCATCACAGCCCCACAGTATTACTGTCCTCGTTTACAGATGAGGAACTCAGGCGCAAAAAGGGAAAGTGAGCTGGTGAGGAAGGGGTACAGTTGGGATTTAAATGCCAGCCCTTCTGGTCTGATGTGTCTTCCCCAGCCCAGCCCCAGTTCTGACTCTTTTGGGCCTCGGTTTACCAACCCCGGGAAGTGGACCCAGGGTGATACCAACCTTCCAACAGGAATAAAGATGTAGAAGATGGCCAGTACTCGGGTCCGCTGGTCTCTCACGAAGAGGTCGCCCAGGATGGTGGGTGCGATGGTGGAGTAGCTGGCAGTTCCAGCGCCCACGACTCCCCGGGACAGGAAGAAGAGCCAGGAATACTGGGGCAGTCAGGCACAAGAACAGGGTGGGTTCCAGAAATCACCCAAGGGCAAGGGACTCAAGGATTTGTCAGAGGGGCTCGAGCTACAGGCACCTCGCTATCCTCCCAGCCCTCGTTCCCTGAAATCGCACGGGTGCCCCCTGCTGGCACCTGCAGCTGTCGCTGGCCCCCAGGCCGGAGCCCTTCTCCAGAGCATTGCCTTTGCTAACCAGGCCAGTTCCCCCACACCGCAGCTGTTACCCCTCCCCCACCGCCAGCACAGTGGGCGGAAATGAAGCCACCAGCAGCAGCGGGAGGTGCAAGAGAGGAAGGCTCCTTCCTGTTAAGAAAGCCTAACCGGCCGGCCCTGGCCAGGTAGTCATTTGGTTGGACCATGGTCCCAATACAACTGCAGGTTCAATCCCCATCAGAGCACATAGAAGAGTCAACCAATGAATGCACGAGTCAGTGGAGCAACATATCAATGTTTTTCTGTCTCTCAAATCAATCGATCAATCAATCAGTCAAGCCTAATGGGCTCCTGTCTCGGACTGGAAGGCAATCCCCAGCAAGCCTGGTGCCTTGACTGGAACAGCGGCAGCCCCACCCAGCTGTCATGGAGCCAGCAGGAGACAGTTCCCTGGGGCCTGCGCAGGGGTGAGGGCACCTACCCGGGGGGAGATGAAGGAGCCGGAGAGGCCCGCTCCTGACCAGAGGAGGATCCCAAAGCTCAGCGTGGCTTTGCGGCTGTGTCGGTCGCCCAGGTAGCCAAACACAGGTGCAGACAGCAGCAGGCAGACGGTGAAGACTGGAGGAGACAGGCAAGGGGCAGCCTTGCATCTCCCCCAATGGTAGGTGGGCAGATGGGCCCCACAGGCCCACAGAAGGGCACCTTGGCAGTGAGTGGATTGAGGCCAAAAAGAGGAAACAATAAGGTGAATCCCCCCATCCTCTCCTAGCACATAACCCATTGCCTAAAGTCAGGGGGCTGGGCTGTGCAGCCGTGGGCTACTAACTCCACCTCCCTGATCATCACCCCAGCACTGGTGAAGTCAACAACCCCCATGCCCACTCCCATATGCCCTTGCAGGCTGCATAAAGGTGAGATAGAAGTGACCTCGGAGCCAGGCATGGAGCGGACAGTGGTCAGGGCACACCAGAGCCCTAGCTGTACCAGAACTCCTGCCCTCTGGGAGCCCGATGCTGGGACTGGTCTGACTTTGCTGTCACACCCCTGCTGAGGGTGGAGGGTGGCAGAGGGTGGCAAAAGGGTCTGCTTGGGCCCTCATGGAAAGGCAGATGAGCGCCATTTAGAATGAGCACAGCGATTCCTGGAGGCTGGAAATGCACTGGTTTTGCTAAGTAGGTAAAACATTCCCCCGACACTGTCAGATGTATGCATACCTTTTTTTTTTTTTTTTTTTAAGTAAATCCTTAAGAACTGGCAGCTGGATTAATGAATACATAGGCTATTCTTCGAAGACAAAGAAACTGCCACATTTTTGCCGGGCTCTACCTCATGGATAGGTACCGTCACCGCTTCTGTTCCTTAAATAAATCGCCTCTGCCCTCCCGGGAGGACGTGTCCCAGGCCTCCGTGAGTCCGCAGGCGGCGAGGGGAGATGTCTGGACTCTCCCCACCTGGTCCCACCATCCAAGGGCCTTAGGCTTTGGAGGGTCCCGCCCACCACTTGGATCTCCATTCATTGAGCACATATGATTGACATTTCCTGAGCGCAAAGAGTATCCAGATTCCTCTCAGCTCAGGTTCCAGCCCCTCCCACTCCTCCAGTATTGGATGGAGCCTCTTGCAATTGCGGAAATTAGGGCAGTTTTGACCTACAAAACGAAAATTTAATATGGTTCGACCTAATACTCCACAGAGAATGGTCTTTGGTGTCAATGGCATTTATAATTTTAATAGCTAACTGCCAAAATAGGCCGCCAAAAAAAGCTGTATCGATTTACACTTGCGTGGAAGCGTGTGCCAGCACCCTTGTGACACTTGATAGGATCAATCCCTTTATTGTTGTTCATCTACTGGTTGGAAAACAAATGGCGTCTCGCTGATGTTTTTATCTGCAGCCTATTCTCAGGGAAGCTGAGCATCCTCTGCCCATTTTTCTCCTGGTCCTTTTGTTGTTTGGAGGTAGTGTCTCCAGTCCTTCATATTTGTTTTAAGGATTTAAAATGCAGATTCTGAGACTAAACTACCTGGGCTCCCATCCTGACGTTACCACTTCCTAGTTGTGTGACCCTGGGCAAATTCCTTAACTCTCCTGTCCTCCTTTCACCAACTGCACAAGGAAATAGTAAGAGTGCTTGCCTCATAAGATTAAATAAAATAAAACATATAAAAGGCAGTGACTGGCTTTATATAAATGCCTAATAAATGTTACTTGTTACTAATTATTGCACTGCCAGTTTCAATCACCTTGATACAGAAGAGTTCAGCTTTGATGTAGTGAAATTTATAATCTTCCTCTAGGGAGGTTGTTTGGGTCTTGTTAATGCCTATCCTTTTTACCCAAGGGTTGTAAAAACATTTCGCCAAATCTAATACTTTTACAAGATCTGGGGCAGGGATCCTCAAAAGGACACAATCTGCTTAGCTGTGCAGTTGCCCTGAGACAAGAGACCTGCCCCTCAGGGGAAGACCGGCACTCCTTTCCTTCTGGCATCTGCACATTCAAATACTTTCTGTGACAAGGTGGGAGAGAGAGATTCAGGGGCACCAGGAGAGAAGGACTCTGCAGGCAGTGCCTGGAGTTGGATCACAGCTTCGTCACTCACCAGCTGTGTGACCTTCAGCAAGCCCCATAGCCACTCTGTACCTCAGATTTGGCATTTGTAAAACAGGCCTAATAATAATACCTGCCTCATGGGACTGTTGTGACGATTAAATGAGTTAATATTATAAAGCACTTAGAATAGTGCCTGGAACATGGTAAGGGCCACACCAGAGTTTGTTTTAATATTATCAATCAATTAACCAACTCCAACAGTTTCTCGATTCCAGTTGGGAGGGAGGGGGTCTGACCACCGGTTCCCACTTCCCTCTACCGCATTCTTATAACCCGACCCCCACTTAGCTCATACAGCAGCCCTGTGGACACAGAGCAGGGCGGGTCTTTGGGCCATTGCATGGAGACTTAGAAAGGTAAAAATACTCACCTTAGGTCACCGGAGACAAGCCTGGTCATCAGGCCTCCAGCGCACTGACCTTTCCATATGCCTTTTGCGACAGTTTCTGCAGAAATGACCCTTCCCATCATTCACTCCCAAACACACACACTCACATATCCACATCCACACTTCTTCCTTCCTTCCTTCCTTCCTTCCTTCCTTCCTTCCTTCCTTCCTTCCTTCCTTCCTTCTTTCTTTCTTTCTTTCTTTCTTTCTTTCTTTCTTTCTTTCTTTCTTTCTTTCTTTCTTTCTTTCTCTCTCTCTCTCTCTCTCTTTCTTCTTTCTTTTCTCTCTCCCTTTCTCTTTCTGTCTATCTGCCTCTCTCTCTCTCACACACACACACATACACCCTCCTCCCTCCACAGTATCTCACAGATCAGCGACCTTGTAGTAATAATCCTGCTCACCATAGTAAGAACTGGGGAAGGGAAATGTTGACTCAACTATCATTATCTGTTTCATCTAGAAGTTTGAAGGCATTGAGCTGAGATGGTCTCTCTTTAGCTACAAAGGAAGATCATAGATTTACCTACGAAGGGAGAGCAGCCCCAGCCAGCCTGAGACAGGAGCAGCGGGAAGACCCGTGGTCTAAAGCAGGGCTCTGCTAACACCTTTGCTTGGTGCCTGCTAAAGAAGTTTATAGAACTATGCACCCTTTCACGTGTTTTCTGCTGACATTTAAAACATTTTTATCATCAGTTTAAACAGTTGCAAAAGATGTGCTTTCCAGCATTATCGTATTTTTAAGTATATTTTCACTCAGATACTTGAGGCTACAGATCAGGTTCATTCAATTTATGGGAAATGCCAGCCATAGAGTCTAGTGAACAAAACCAGTCCTGCCCTGGCCAGGTTGCTCAGTGGGTTGAGCATCGTCCCAAACACCAAAAAAAAAAGTCGTGGGTTTGATCTCCAGTCAGAGCGAGTAGGGAAAGCAACTGATCAATGTTTCTCTCTCACATCTCTCTCTCTCCCCTCACCCAAATCAATAAACATCCTCGGATGAGGATTTAAAAGAAAGCAGTTCTGTCAAATCAATCAGACAAATCAGACTGGTTGTCTGTAAGAAAGATGTTAAAATGTTGGCTTCATTTCTCATTGAAATAACTGTGCCGACACCTCTCCTGGAGACAACCTTCTCGCTTCTGAATTTTAAATCGTAGATAAATAGCAGACTGTCACACACCGGCAAGGCAGCTAGATAAGGCTTGGCATCTCGCCATGGGTTTTCGGCCTGGAGAAAACATCCCCAGTGGGTTTCTACTGACTGTCTGCTCTGCTCCTCTTGCTCCCCAGCCAAAGCCGAGCCCCTCTGTCTGGCACCCTGGAGGTTTTGACACCCAGGGCTGTAGCCCCTGGAAAGTTCTCACGTCTCCCCAGAAGTCCTCTTACCCCGGTTTGAGAACCTCGTTCTAAGGGTTAAGATAGTGGACTGTTAGGAAGAGGAACCATGCATGTGCTAGTGGCTGGCCAGGTGTGTTCACACACATGTATCTATGTTGTGACAGTGTGTGCATACATATGAAGGTGGTGAATACATGTGTCACCATGCAGGCGCTCATGGACCCACTGCCCCCTCCTTGGAACAGGAAGTATAGCTGCTCCCCAGAGCTGGACTGAAGGTGCATGTGAGCCCAGACCCCCTCTGAGCCCATGTAGGGGGGGCTCTGGCTGTCCTGATGGCCAGATTGTTCAGGTCCACGAGAGGAAAGCAGGTGTCAGGATTTCTCAACCCCTGCCAGTCTCCGGTACCCAGGGGAGCTGAACAAACAGGAAGGAGTGAGTGGCAACTCCACAGCCATGATCAGAAGCTCAGGAGCCCTTCCCAGCCCCAGCTCCCCCTGCTCTTTGGGCAGCACCTACACTCAGACCTGAAGGGGCTATTCAAGCATGAGGTCTCAGCCCATGTGATCTCCTGTTACCCGGACTCTCCTTCACACCCATCACCACCATCCGCAGTGCCCCTTCCTCTGCCAGGGGACTTAGAGTGGCTCAGCCTGGCTCCTGTTTCCCAGCAGCTGTAGCTGGGCACAGAACAGGACCTGCCAGAAGACCCCAGCCCAGTGGGAGGCCTGGACCCCAGCTCCAGGGCCAGGACTCGCTCCTTACCCGTCTGAAGCAAACCAACACTGCTGTCACTGATGCGAAAAAACTTCTGTACATCCAACAGCACTCCTGTGGACAGACGGACAGCACTCAGGAAACAGGAAGTAGCCCACTGGGCCTCTAAAACCACTGCCACTACATTTGGGACAGGACCACAGCTGAACAGCACAGGACGGTCATGGCACCGGGGGCCACTGATCTTTCCCCCGCTCCTACACATGCACACACACGCAGGCACATAGAGATGAGTGTACATCAAACACATGCAGAAACATGCATGCCAAAGGCCCTGACTTGTGCACACACATTCACACACTGCATGCTCTCCCAGGAATCGACATAGTCATGGACACACAGACATGCTGATCCACATACATACACACATACAAACAGGAATGCCCAGGGATATATACTCATAGAGGCCTAGATATATATACACACACAGGAGCCTGCACTCACAAATGTGTGAGCCCAGCCTCACACACAGCCAGACACACATACATACACATATACACTGAGATGTACATATAAAGACACACCCACAGGCATGCATGTAAATGCATGTGTGCAGGACTCCCATTCACATCCTAGTCAGAGTGACTGGCAGCTCCCTGTTGCTGCACAATGCACAGCCATTCGCTTAAACTACAGTGTAAATGGAAGTCCCTGGGATTGTGCAACACAGCAGCCCTGCTAGTGTACAAACTCCAGATACTCATAGACATCCTATACATGCATAAGTATGTACATGCAAGACATGTGTACCTTGGCCTGCACACATGGCCCTGCATGTTCTTCTAGGAGCATGATCACAGACATGAAAGTGCACATGAAAGCTTCAGTGATAGGTTCTATTTAGGCCTGACCTTGACCCTGATTCCCTGAGGGTGGTAAGCTCTTGCTCTGCACTAGCCAGGTCTCTGAAGCCCCTCTAAGACCTCGCTAGGCCACGGGCTGGTGCAGTGCACGCTCAGCCTAACGCAGAGAAGAATCGGGCCTCCTGACAGCAGGTCCTGCTCCCTGAAACCCCCTCAGCCCTCTGGTGTATTTTAGAAAAACTTAGTCAGGTCCTAGGCACCTGCTTATCTGAGCTGTGAGGCTCTGGCCCTGCCATGATAAAGGACAGTCATTACTCTCATTGAATTATGAGACGCCCAAGGGCCAGGCCTTGAGCTGACTAAGTTTCAGTGCTTCCCTCAGAGGTGGGGACTGTCACTGTCTCTATGACACAAATGAAGAAACAGAGGCTCCAGCCAGCCATGGCTGCACAGCTGGAAATGGAGGAGCTGGAACTAGAATCCCAGCCAGAGGTAGGCTGCCTTCCTGCCCAGTGTCGCAGAGGGGGCAGAAGCGCCCCAGTGGGGCCCTGCAGAATCACCCATGGGGTGGGGGGGAGAGGAATAAAACCCTCTTCCTCATCCACACCTCCAAGACCTGTCAGCAGGTGAGGAAAAAAATCAGAGAGTCAGAGAAACAAAGTAAGACTTTTGTTCAGATGTTTATTTTGGGCCCAGTTGCCAGAGCATCTAGGCATACCAATGTATATGTCCTTCCCTTCCCTTTTAATACTTTTAATTACATGAATAAGGTATATTCACTGAAGAGAAAAAAACAGACAAGCAGATAAGCAAAATAAATAGCTAGATAAAAACTCCCTTTAACCACACTCACCTTCCACGTTCAGAAATGAGGACCCACCCCCACACCAGGTCTGCTCCCAGGCCGGGGCCGCTCTGGGGGCTCGGGCACAGCCTTGTTCTTTGCCTGTGAGCTGTCATTCCGGCTTCCCATGGGAGAACCCTAGTCACCGGGAGACTTGCCTGCATTCCCCCAACAGTCCCCGCACACTGTCCTTGGTTTCACTTCTCCTTCATCCCAATAATGGCCTTGCTTCTCCCACAGCCAGGGGAAGTCTCAACACAGAAGGGGCCTCAGGCAGACAGAGCTCAGGGCCTGATGGTTCAGCCAAAGGCCTCTCAGGACAAGTGGCGTTGAGAGCAGGGACCTGAGCCTGTGGGGCTCAGAGAGCTCTATACCCACAATCACCCTGCTGTCGCCTGTGGCCTGCCCGTCCCCTCCTCTTCACACACCCCTCCCACACTCAGATTCAGTCCTCCCCAGCCTTGGCCTGGTCCACTGCAGCTGCCTCTGTATTGACCTCCTGTTTCACCGTGCTTCCATCATATACCTCAAATGTGATTATAGACGCCCCCACTTATAAACACTTTCCCCACCTCCCCATTTTCCTGGCCTTTTCCATTGCTTCAGCAAAACTCTATGAGTTGGCCCCAACCCCCTTTTAGAATAATTTCCTGCTTTCTCCCTGCTCACCATACCTGATCAGACCATGCCCTTTTGCCCCGTGTGCCCTGGCACATGCTGACCCCTCTGTCTGAATGCTCTTGCCTTACCCCTTCCCCACCTTGCCAACTTTAACAGCCTTCAAAGGCCCAAATCAAATACTCCCTCCCCTGTGATTCTACCAGAACCCTCAGTCATTGGTCCCAGGCTGCTCAGCTGACTCTCACCCCACTCTACCTGTCTTAGAGATACTGGTTCATGTGTTCTGTGTCCCTCTGAGCTCATCAAAGGCAGATGCTGGGCCCGGGGCTGTCTGCAACCCCTGACTCCCATTCATTCCACAGCCACTCTCCAGTGTACCGTGCTGGCAACTGATGACTTAGTATCCTGGTCTCAGGGATGCCCAATGACTACAGGTGCCACCTCTGAGCTCCCCAGACCAGCTGGTACCCCCCTCATCTGGCTGCATCTCCCTGCCTTGCAGGAGTCTTGCTAATGAGCTTCTTCTCCTTCCTCCCTATGAGATGGTCATTCCCGAGTTCAGAAACTACAAGACTGACTTCCCCTCCCCTGGGTCCACAAGGCCCACCCAGAGGGCCCTACCCATATTTAGTGTTCAGTTGATCTTGAATGAATTAGTGATGGAGGCAATGTTGAATCCTGATGAATGGATGAATGAATAAATACATGAAAAGTGAATGAGTGAGTGACAGAGGAGACTGAGTCCTGGGGCCCGCAGGAAGGAAGGCAGAATGTGCAAGGTTTGCACACAGCCTGCTATCCCACAAATACCCAGCAAGCTGTTTCTTGCTTGGGAGCTGGGCCAGGCTGCCCTGTCCTCCACAGCCTCACCCTGGCATTCCACCCAGAGCCTCCAGGTCTTTGCCTGAAGACTCAGTCCCCCCTGTCATCCTCACCCACCCCACTACCACCATGCACCACACCTATGTACACACTCCTAATTTGGGCTGGATTGGGAAATGAGATTGGCAGGACAGCAGGGATAAGCTCTGAAAGAAGAAAGCTTGCTGGACCGCAGGCCACTGTGGTGGCAGGGCAGCCAGTGGGTGGGTGGGTAGGGGCCGCCCAGGATGCCTGTCCCCTTCCTCACCTGCGATGATGAACCAGTTCATGTAGTTCAGGAGGTTGGTGTAGCAAAGCACCCCCGCGGCCACATAAGCTCTCCAGCGGGGCAGGCTCCAGGGGGCAGGCGTGGTTGGATGGGAACACTGACCTGAGCCCAAGGCCCCAGAGTACCCACCTGACCCTGGGGACCCGCCTTCAGGCCCCTCTGGCCCAGGCTCCTGGCACTCCCCAGACATGCCCTGCACCTTGCCAGCCCAAAGCTTCTGTCCCAGGAGGCATGCAGGGGCCAAGATGCATCAGTTCTGTCTTGAGTCACTTCCTGTGGTCTCCCAGCTTCCCAATCTGAAAGCGGCTACCCTAACTGCTAAGCATCTTATCACAGGTTCCTGCTGAGCCCACCACAGCTTCAATGGTGAGATTTCACCATCCGCAGCCTCCAGGGCTTGCTCCAGGGGAAGAGGGCTCCTGCCCTCGTGCACCACCCTGGGTGACTGAACACTGTGGCCCCCTCCATCTAGTCAGGGGCTGTAGAAGCTGCAGCGGCAGCAGTGAGGAAGAGAAACTTCACAGTGAAATGAGTTTCCTAGAGGCCTGATCACTATGGGAGGGTCTGGCTGCCCACGAAAGAGATGTGAATGAGGGACTTGAAGTCAAATCCCTAGGTCCAATCAAAAAGGCTGGGTGTTGGCCAGGAGACCAGCACCGGCAGGACTCGAAGTGAGACTGGCACCTGCTCCTGACTGATGCCCCGCTGCCCCCTGGCCAGAAACAAGGATGGCTACCTGCCTGCAGAAAGACAGCCTACGGGCAAAACTCATCAATGGGCAAACACCCAGGGGGAAATATTTTTAACATTTTTTTCTTTCTAGTTACAGTGAACACACAATATTACATTTTCAGGTGAACAACATAATAATTAGACATTTATATAACTTACAAAATGGTCACCCCCAAAAACCTCACGCCCACCTGACACCATACATAATTACTGCAATATCACTGACTGCGTCCCTCGTGCTGTGCTTTGCACCCCTGTGACTGCTCTGCAGCTGCCAAGGTGTACTTCTCCGTCCCTTCCTCCGTTCTACCCATCCCCCGCCCCCTCAATCTGGCAGCCATCAAGGTGTTCTCTGTATCTATGAGCTTGTTTCTGCATTGTTCTTTCACTTATTTTATTTTTACATTCCATATATAAGTGAATTCATATGGCATTTGTCTTTCTCTGTCTGACTTATTTCACTCAGCACCATACCCTCTCTAGGTCCATCCATGTTGTTGCAGACGGCGAGGTCTCATTTTTTTTATGGTCAAGTCATATTCCATCACATATACACACCACTTCTTTATCCACTCATCTATTGATGGACACTTAGGTTGCTTCCATATCTTGGCTATTGTAAATAATGTTTCGATGAATGTGTCTTTTTGAATTGTTTTGGCTTTTTTCAGATAAGTGCTCTGAGGTGGAATTTCTGGGTCCTTCTTTGACTCTTGTTATAGCTCTGGTCTTAACGTCTCTCTTGTCTGGCCCTGGCCGAGTAGCTCAGTTGGTTCAAGTGTCATCCCAATACACAAAAGTTGTAGGTTCAATTCCCCAGCCAGGTCACATACAAGATCAAAAAATAAATGCATAAATAAATGGAACAACAAATCAATATTTCTCTCTTTTTCTCTCTAAAAGTAAATACAAATTTTTAAAATCTATTTTCTGTGGTATAAGTATTTACCCAGCTTTTTTGTTTGTTTCCATTTTCAAAAAAAAAATATCTTCTTTTATCCCTTTGCTTTCAGTCTGTGTCTTTCGATCTGAAGTGAGTCTCTTGTGGACAGACGTAAAAGTTTTGTTCTCTTATCCCTTCAGCCACCTGTCTCTTTGGATTGAAGCATTTAATCCATTTGCATTTAAAGTGATTGTTGATAGATGTGGAGTTATTGCCATTTTATTATTCATATTTTTTCTTTTTCTTTATTTAAAGAAGGCTCTTTAACATGTCTTGTAATACTGCTTTGGTGGTGATGATCTCCTTTAGGCCTTTTCCTGTCCAGGAAGCTCTGTATCTGTCTTTCAATCCTAAATGATAGCCTTACTGCTTGTAGGTCCTTGCTTTTCATAACTTTGAATATTTATTTCATGCCAATCCCTTCTGGCCTTCACAGTTTCTGTTGAGAAATTGGCTAACTGTCTCATAGTAGCTCCCTTGTAGATAACTACTTTTTTCTTGCTCCTTTTTGAAAAAGATTTTATTTAGCTAGTTTTAGAGAGAGGGCAAGGGAGGAAGAGAGGGAGAGAAACATCTACGTGAGAGAGAAACATCGATCAATTGCCTCTCTCAAATGTCCCAACCAGGGCTGAACCCACAACCCAGGCATGGGGCCTGACCTGGAATCGAACCAGCAGCCCTTCCCCCTGGGAGGTGAGACCCGACCAACTGAGCCACACCAGTCAGGGGTCTTGCTACTTTTAAGATTCTCTCTTTGTCTTTAGCCCTTGGCATTTTAATTTTAATGTGTCTTGGTGTGAGCCTGTTTGGGTTCATCTTGTTTGGGATTCTCTACACTTCCTAGGCTTGTATGTCTATTTCTTTCACCAGGTTAGGGGAGTTTTCCATCATTATATCTTCTGACAAGTTTTCAGTTCCTTGCTCTCTCCCTTCTCCTTGTAGTTCCCCTGTGATTGAATGTTGGTCCACTTGACTATCCTCATTTCTTTAGATTCTTTTTTTTTTTCTGTTCTGACTGGGTGCTTTCTGTTATCTTGTCTTCCAAACTGCTGATTTGATGCTCTGCTTAATCTAATCAATCTATTGATCTCCTTTAATGAATTCTTCATTTCTGACTGGTTCTTTTGTATATGAGGTCTGTCCATAAAAAGTCCAGCCATTGTTAGTACAACGAGAATAGTGGGCATGACATCGATGTAACCTGGCAGCCAAGAAGAGTAGACTGGAATGTGCACGTGTGAACAGTGATGACTTCACGTAATAGTCAGTAGGGGCAGTAGATGCCATTGAGTGAGCACATGTACTGTGTGGCCCTCACATTCAAAATGACTGAGCGGGTAGAGCAATGAATCTGCATCAAATTTTGTTTTAAGCTCGAACATTCCTCTGCCAAAACTACTCAGATGATTCAGAAGGCCGCAGCTATGAGCAACTGGTGACTGGCAGCTTCATCACGACAATGCGCCTGCTCACGCATCATGTCTCATGAAGAGGTTTTTGGCGAAACGACAAATCACCCAGGTAATTCAGTCCCCTGGTAGCCCAGACTTGGTGCCCTGCGACTTCTGGCTTTTCCCCAAACTAAAATCACCTTTGAAAGGAAAGAGATTTCAGACCTTCAGTGAGATTCAGGAAAATACAACGAGGCAGCTGATGGCAACTGGGAGAACTATGTGAGGTCCCAAGGTGCCTACTTTGAGGGGAACTGAGGTGTTATTGTCCTATGTACCATGTTTCTTAGATCCTGTATATCTTCAGTAAATGTCTCAGTTTTTCATATTACGTGGCTGGATACTTTCTGGTCAGACCTCATATTTTCTACCTGCATCTTCATGTTTCCTATTTCTTTGTTAAGCTCTCACTGAGATCACTGAGCATCCTTATAACCATGTTTTGAACTACACATCTGTCTCCATTCCATTTTGTTTAGTTCTTTCTCTGGACTTTTGCTCTGTTCTTTCATTTGGGACATGTTTCTCTGTCTCCTCATTTTGAGTGCCTCCCTGTGTTTGCTTCTGTGTATTGGATAGAGCTGCTACACCTCCTGGTCTTGGTTGTAGGTGTCCTGTGGGGCCCAGGGGCACAGATTCCCTGGTCACCTGAGCTGAGTACTCCAGGTGCTCCGGGTAGCGGAGCCTTCATTGCTGTTGGCTTGTCCAGGAGAGTGATCGAGCCTCAGGCTGACTGGCTGTGAGGACTGGCCATGACTGTAGCGGAGAAGCTGTTGTCCAGGATCTCACCCCAGAGAGTAGGATTCGCTTTAGCGGGACTCTGACACCCACTGAGTCTGCCCTTTGGTGTGTCATTTGGAGGTGGTTGGGTGGTGCTCTGGTGTGGTCTGAACCTGACCACCAGGTGAAGTTGGGGACTCTTGGGAGTTGCAGGCTAAGGTCAGCCACTACTTGTGTCTGCCCATGGCCACCTAGTATGAACTACAAAGTGATCCGCAGATGGCTGCTGCTTGTGTTGGGCTTGCAGATGCCTGGGAGAGGCTCAGCGGCGAACCGAGGCCGCCTGCCAGTAGTGCCGTGCTTGGGGCTGCTTAGCACGAGGGTCAGGGCACACGGAGGCCAGATGTTACTTGTTTGGGTTTGTGAACCTGTGAGAGATTTTAAGGAAGTCCAAAACAACTTAAATGTCTATCACGAATGAAAAGGAAAATGTGATACATCCACACAAAAGAATGTTATTCAGCCTTAAAAAAAGGAAGGAAATCATGACACACGCGACAACGTGGCTGAACCCTGAGAACATTACGCTGAGTGAAGTAAGCAAGACACAAGGTGACAAATACTGTGTGACTCCGCTTATGTGGGGCACCTACAGTAGTCACATTCCTAGGGACCAACAGTGGAAGGTGGTTGCCAGGGGTGGGGAGCCGGCGAGGGTGGCGATGGTGCGTTGGTTGGCGTTCAGTGAGTGCAGGGTTTCAGTCTGGGAAGACGGAAGAGTTCTGGGGGTGGAAAGTGGTGATAGCTGCACAACAAGGCGAATGACTTTTGCCGCTGAATTGTGTTTAAAGCGGTTAAAAGGGTGAATTTTACGTTGCGCATATTTTACCACTGCTAAAAAGAGTAAATGTGGTGATCATAAAATCAAAAATGTGGCGACATTCTGGATTCCAGGTTTTATGGGATTGGTCTAGTAAATAATGGTGCCTCTGCAGAGGTATGGAAGGTGCCCGTAATCATAGTATCATGGAGTGCGTTCCATTGCCCTCAGTACCCTTTGTCCTGTGCAAATTAGCCAACGTGGATCTGAAATGAGTTCAGGATATGATGACCAAGTATAAATAAGAGTGTACGGAAGGTGTGCCCAGTGTGGCCCCTTTCAGGTGAAAATTATAAAAATAAATACAAGAAAGATTTATGAGCTGGCCCATCACAATTCACTTGGCTACTTGCCCCTATGACAGAAGTTCGTTTGAGATTACTTTTCAGGGAGGCCCTTTTGGGGCAGTTCCCATTAGAATTTAAGTTTGCATTCTTTTTTTAAGAAAAAAAAATTTTTCAGCC